CATGTCGTCTTCGTTGGTTTCCTCACTGTTTAATCTCGCTGCCGATCTCGTTGTCATTGGCATACCTTCTCTAAAGGCATGAAATATCCCACCGCTGCCACCAATGTTGTGCCAGATTAAGCGAGATCGTGTCGAAAAAAAACCCGCCACAGGAAAGTAAAACAACTTCGTACAAACACGCTTTATTTACTAAAGAAATCACACCAAATCGTATTAAAATTGTCCTTTTATACACACTGTCAATTTACATAACCTAATTAGTTTTCACGCCTATATAGTTTTATTGTTCTATTTACAAATTTACATAGTAACACACAATACACACATAACACACATAATAGTCATTTGTCCCAATTGTTCTCTGACCGGCACTACAGTACCTAATTTTTGTTTTTTTTTACAACACAGGTATGTTCACATACGACACAGACACAAGACAATGTTGGTTTAATCAAACGTCGTTTGAGAGTCATGATCAGTTCACATTAATTGGTTTAATGTTGGGTTTAGCAATCTATAACAATATCATATTGGATGTACATTTTCCAATGGTTGTGTATAGAAAGTTGTTTGGTAGAAATGGTAGTTTGGTTGATCTCAAAGATTCTCATCCTGTGAGTAAATACATAATGTATGTAGTTAACGAATTCTCAAGAAATAATTGATTGGTTGAAATGCCTACAAGCCCTGTAGGTATGCAAGGCCGGATTTTGGTGGAAATGGTGGGAGAGGTGGGGAAAATTTGTGAGAGGTGCAGCGGCCTAGCTCATGCACGGCCTACCTATATCACTTGAGAATGTATTAAATTTCTTTGAAGGATAACAAACAGCAACATTCATTTCAACGAGTTTGTTTTGGCCGTCTTCATCACGTTGCCATCCTCTTTATTGATAAATTTATGTTTTTAATCTCAGTATGCATTCGGTCGACACTCCGTAACCAGCACCCGCCTAACATATCCCCCACATGATCGAGCAGGATCCATTCCTGATGACGTTTGTTTGAATTTCTAGGTGATCGCCAACAGTCTACAAAATATTCTTGATTTCGAAGGAGATGTAGAAAATACATTTATCTGTTCATTTGCAATCAGTTACACGGATGTTTTTGGGAATGTGCTAACTCACGAGTTGATTGAAAATGGGAAAGATATACCGGTCACTAACGAAAGTCGAAAGGTAACCTGAGATATACTGTATCTTGCAAGTAGTGAGAATGTACACTGTTGGTTTTGTCAATTTGTCCGTTCCCAAAAGTGGAATTTAGTCGATCTTGACACACAAGTATATAATCAATATTTGGCGCCTTTTTTAATTAAACAAGTTTAATTAAACTGTTTTTAAGTTTTTGTGCAGTTTTATGCTGATTTCTATAGGAGCATTTTTAAGATGAATACATCTGGCAGCATCAACTGTTTTCTATAATCTTAATTTATGTTTTAGGAATATGTCGACCTCTATGTCGATTACATTCTGAACAAATCCATCGAAGACCAGGTATTGGAATTACGTAAAATTTCAATGAAAACATTAAAATGTATCCTCCAATTTGATTGTATCGTGATATCCTCTGTATAACAACAATATTACAATCTGATTAATGTATAAAATGTTGTTTTGATATCTTGTTTCATGTTTAGTTTCGACCATTCAAACAAGGTTTTGATATGGTCACTAAAGAATCTCCCTTGAAACAATTCTTTCGACCAGAGGAAGTGGAACTGCTTGTTTGTGGCAGTAAGGTATGGGGTGACAAATTTGGTTTATATTTAGAGACTTACCATCACGAACAAAGTACTCTCGAAGTACTATAGTTGTTTATCACAAATGTTGTACAATGCAAATCTCAATAACCGTATATATTTAACAACTAGAATTACAAATTGTAAGTGAAATGCTGCGAGTAAATACTGGAAGTTCCTGTGTCTTCCCCAGTCGTCTCTTGAGTAGTTGGGCAGTCTTCAGGATAGTAATTGCGTGTCATTTATTATCATTTGGATCAGGCATGTACCAGTGTACCACAAACATTTTGTGAATGTTTCTTTCACTTATATAGGATTTCGATTTTGAGGCTCTAGAGAGCACAACTGAGTACGAAGGTGGCTTTACTGAAACGTCTCTAATCATAAGGTAATCTATAGATTTATGATTTATGTACTTAACGGAAACTCTGGTTCACTAAGTGGGGCAGTGCAAGTACATGGGGGTGAGCTCTTAAAACAAATGCAGTAATCGGAATAACTAATTTGTCCACTTTATATGTATTGCAATACCTTGTGCTTGGTGGAAAATACATGTCATATTATAAACATTTAGCATCATTTGTATGTATTGTATTGTACTATATACTATACTGTACTGTACTGTCTCGTATTATATTATATTGTATTGTATTGTATTGTATTGTATTGTATTGTATTGTATTGTATTGTATTGTATTGTATTGTATTGTATTGTATTGTATTGTATTGTATACATGTCATTTTGTGTAAATTTATCAAATGGCGAAGTTATATAAATAAATAAATAAATTTGCTCGCTACTATAACTCATAAATGTCAATGCGTTTAAGGTTGAGTGCCATGTATATAACACCATATAAACCACTGAATTAAGTGGAATGCTCTTAATGTGCTCGTAGTTTCCTTTTTCTCACGGGCTAAATCATTTGATATTTTTACTTTAAATTTTCGGTAGAGAAACCAGTCTGTTTCCCATGAACGAGCCGCCAGTCACTTCGGTCACTAAATAGCTGTTACCAGGTCCGGAGCTACGGGGAGGGAGAGGGGGGGGGGGGTTGACACCCCGCAGAAATTTTATTCAAAGCTTCAGTCGGCAGGACTGCTATTTTAGTCGGCAGACAAAAATATTTTTTACGATAGACAAATGGACTTATAGTAACGTAGTTGTAATATAAATCTAAAGTTGATGTTAACTGTTTTGCTTCTATATATAATGATTACAAGAACCATCAAAATTTAATAGAATTTCCCTATGTGTATGTCATCGTGCAGTTTTTATCACTGTTCAGGCCTGTTCTAAACGTCGCAATTTACATGTGCCGAATAGATTCACAATAACAGCTAATCAGCTGAAATGCCTCATTGTCCATTGTTTTGAATGCATTCGGCGCATGTAAAATGCGACGTTTACAAAATTTCATTTTTAGGTGGTTCTGGGATATTGTGCATAAATTTTCAATTGAACAAAAGAAACGACTTTTGATGTTCATCACAGGCAGTGATCGCGTGCCTATTGGTGGTTTAGCAAAACTCAAACTGGTTGTTGCAAGACAAGGCCCTGATTCTAACAGGTATATATTGTCAATCTTGGTGTTTTGCTCAATGATCTTCATGGTTTTCTGTTTGTGCGAATTTTCGTCTCTATGTTGGATGAATGTAGGAAAGGATTTTTCTTCTTTGTATTTTCTACTGAATTTAGTAATTTCATATATGTTTCGACACATGGGGGAAATGTATATCGCTAAAATATGGCGCACGTGGTGGAGATTAGTTCTTTTTCCGGTGGTTGCTCTAGAGATACAAAATTATAAATTGGGACTCGGTATACATGTATTTGGGGCTTCGAATTAATGTAGTAATTATTTAACTATTGAAATTATTACTTTTTCAGCCTGCCAACTGCTCACACCTGTTTCAATGTATTGCTTATCCCGGATTATTCAAAGAAAAGCCAGTTAGAAGAACGACTTGTGAAAGCTATAACTTACAGTAAAGGCTTTGGACTCATATGAACAACTAGACTTCAAATATAACCAAATTGTAAAACACGGAAAGTTATATATTTGAAGTTTGCTTGCTGTATAGTTACTATATGTATATAATTCGTTGTGTTTGTCTTGTACTATTTTTCTTTTCAAATGAAAAGTTTTGTTGGTTTTATGGGCGTCTACACCTTTCTCACAAAGACATCGTACGCGTCAAGAATAGAATGGCACCCGATTATTAATCGTGTAGTAATAATTCCTGTCCTCTTCATAACCGCAAAACATCGGCCTCTAAAAGCACAATAATCTTGTCTGTGCCATTGTGGTGATTGCTAGATAGTATACTTCAAAATAAGGTTTCCGTTTTGTATAACGTAGAAAAAACTATCCTAACGCAAAACTAAACCCTAATACTAAATCTAACCCCAACCTAACCTAAACCCTAACCTAACCCTAACTTATTTTAAAAATAGAATAAAAACGGAAATCTTATTTTGAAGTATACTATCTAGCAATTGCCGTGCCATTGTAGGTAGTGCCAATTATACGAAAGCTTTGGATTGATCGGGATGTAACTACCTGAAAAACAATCTCGTAACAGTATGCCCGTTTGCAGGTTAGGTGCTGGGCATGCCCTGTTTACACTACGCTCAATTTTGGTACGGCACGGATAAAATTGGTACCCGTACCACTTTTTTGGTTCTTGGACTACCTATTTGTATAGTCCAAGAACCAAGAAAGTGGTACGGTACCAAAAATCGAGCGTAGTGTAAACGGGTCTTCTGGGTACGAGATTGCCTGAAAAATAGAAAATAACTTCGACGTTTCGAGCCCTTCGTCGGGTAGTTTGTAGCGAACTAACTAAATTCCTGACGACGGGCCTTCGCTCGAAACGTCGACGTTCTCCTTGTATGTTTCAGGTAGTTGCATCCCTATCATAAGCACAACATACGTGTTTATGTCTTAATCTTGTGTTTGTAATGCTTCTAGCATTTTTACTAGAAGATTACAAATAGAAGCACAACGTCAATTTCCCTCATTCATACTCAATTACATATGCAAAGAGGTCGAGGTCTTGCGGATTAGACTTTAAAAGAACAATCTGAATTAGCTATATACAGTCAAGCACTAGCTATATAGGACAACTGAACGTTAACCTAAAGTTTACCATGGATTAGTATAAAAGTCAAGGAGAAATATATTTTACAATTTAATGCGCAACGACTTTAATAAAGAAGTTAAAACCAGTATGTATAAATTAAATATTTTCCTAGCTGTTCAATTCAAATAACATAGAGAACTTCAGCAAACAAGATGATAACACATCTAGCCCGATAGTGTGGATTTTCAAATCGTTTATTAAATTAACCTGACTAAAACATTTCCCTGCATACATGCTGCTCTTGTTATATCTAAATGAAATTCCAAATGTCGGTATACTTCTTTTGTATATACAGTATGGTATAATAACTTACATGCAATGACGGTTTAGTGTAAAACTCGATTATTCAATAATTCATGAGAAATCAATGTTTAATTTAATGAGGTGTTGTGTCCACATATACAAAATTCTCCTGATTTGCATAAACTTATTTCCTCAATTTCAACAACTGTTGCGTTTCGAATGCTATATACGGCATTCACGTTCGTGTTGTATCAGACATATATACAACCTTTCGCCTTCGACTCGAGTTTGTATACCTGATACAACACGGTCGCTCATGCTGTATATAATACATAACAGCCAACATTGACAATCCTGTAATTCAGGTTGCAATAGACCTTACCGATTATTCTCTTTTACCCATGTCAGGGGCAGATAAAGATTATATTCCCATGTTTTCCTGGACGAATTTGTTTCTTGCTGTTCTTAGGCTCAATAAGAAAATAATTTTCAACCCTACTAAGTACAAAACATGTAAGTGTTTGACACGAAAACGAGGCCATTGCGTAAGAGGTGAATAACCGGTAAGATCTGTTCATTTAAATGTGACAAGCTCGTCTCAACGAGTGAGCGTTCAGGCTACTGTCATCCTTGCTTATTCAAGTTCTCTGACGCAATGCACAAATAGTTCACACTATGTTATGAAATATCACTATAATTCTTTATGTTTGTCTGATGATTCAGTCGTGGTATCTTCCTTATTATCAACAGTTTTTTCTGTGTCCTTGGCCTTCTCTTCACTTTCTGTTTCTTGACTAGCTTCACTCTTCGTTTCCTGGCTATCTTCACTTTCCTTATCACTTGATATCGTTTCTTCTTTGCTTTCACGTTGTTTATCTTCTTTATCATCTGTCTTTTCTTTCTTTTCACTATTATCAGCACTTTTAGTTGTATCTTCCTTAGTTGTATCTTCCTTAGTTGTATCTTCCTTAGTCGTATCTTCCTTAGTCGTATCTTCCTTAGTTTTATCTTCCTTAATTGTATCGTCCTTAGTTGTATCTTCCTTAGTTGTATCTTCCTTAGTCGTATCTTCCTTAGTTTTATCTTCCTTAGTTTTATCTTCCATAGTTTTATTTTCCTTAGTTTTATCTTCGGGTTTGGCTTCACTGCTAGAGTCTGTGCCATTGGTACTCGTACTGTTATCTTAAAAGTAAATAATAAAAACAGATTAATTCCTGCGCCATTTGTAGTGTACAAAGCTCTGATAGCACTATCTGATACAAATCGATTTTTTCCACCATTTCAACTTACGGATTTGGTGCTACCACCAAAGAATGCACTGAACCTCGCAATCTATCTAAATTTAATCTGGGGTATGGCAACCAACGACCAATTTTAGGAAGCTTGAGAAATCCACTGGAAAGCGCCATATATAGATCGTTGGTTCTGAGAGTGGATTTTAGGACAGACAAGTGCCTTCTCAGTTTTGCAGATACTATATATTAATTTTGGTCCAGCTGGGTTTCAAAACCACGATCTCCCGTAATAATTGAACATGTTCCATCCGTTAAATAGCTATTCAAGTACTATACTTGTGCATGGCCGCAGTGTTCCATACTAATTGTAATGTGAAAAAGATTGTAATCTGCCGAAAGTCGTGGGGTTTTTCGGGATGCTCCGGTTTCCTGCCACAGGAAAAGTGGTGGGTTAGGATAAACACAGTTAAGAAAGTACTTTCTCAAATTCATTAATAATTCATGAGCAATTCAGCCAATGATAATCACCTAGTATTTGATCACAAGATGCCATTTGGATAACCCGGTGAAACTTGATGAAAGTCACTAGTGTTTTCATCAAATATCTTAATTACGCAAGCAAAATTACTTGAATAGAATTTCTAATTACGTTATGCTCGGTTAAGAATTCTATTCAAATCAGCGAACGAAAACATTCTGTTACGTCTCGATTCATTTGAGAAGCCATATAAACAACTCGAGCTTGTGTCTCACCGGGATATCCAAACACTCGAAAACAATGTATGAAAACACTCGCGCTTCGCGCTCGTGTTTTCATACATTGTTTTGTCGTGTTTGGATATCCCGGTGAAACACTCGCTCTCGTTGTTCATATATTACATCACAATTGTTGTAAAGATAAAATAGTCTACAGTAAGTATATAATTATATAGGTGTTATGATCAAATGCGCTTCAAGTGTGCGTATCCACATGTAAATTTGCGCTATAGAAATGTTAATCGTAAACAAAAGTTATCATTCTCAAGTTCATTAATAATTCATGAGCAATTCAGCCAATGATAATCACCTATTTGATCACAATAAGCCATTTGGATACTTGATGAAAGTCACTAGTGTCTTCATCAAATATCTTAATTACGCATGCAAAATTACTTGAATAGAATTCCTAATTACGTTATGCTTGGTTAAAGCCTGTCCCAAACGTCGCATTTTACATGCGCCGAACGCATTCAAAAAATGGATAATGAGGCATTTCAGCTGATTATCTGTTGTTTTGAATGCATTCGGCACATGTAAAATGCGACGTTTAGAACAGGCCTAAGAATTCTATTCAAATCAGCACACGAAAATATTCTGTTACGTCTCGATTCATTTGAGAAGCCATATAAACAACTCGAGCTCGTGTCTCACCGGGATATCCAAACACTCGAAAACAATGTATGAAAACACTCGAGCTTCGCGCTCGTGTTTTCATACATTGTTTTCTCGTGTTTGGATATCCCGGTGAAACACTCGCTCTCGTTGTTCATATATTACATCTCAACTTCTTGAGCTATGTCGAAGGAAATACTGAAAGGCGTGAAGAGAGCACAGGAAGACATATGGGAACGAGGAACTCGCGCTATATGGTTCATTCGGTTCCCCTCCCACGTCCCACCTTGTTTACTTAATTCCATCAAAAGCATTTTCGAAGAAAATTGGGATAAGCAAGTAAGAAATTCAATTTTAACAGAAATACAAAAACGGCAAGAACTATTGTCAAGACTACTTAGATACTCTCTTGTAACGTGCTTGTAACAAAAAGAACATGCCATGAAATTATCATTACCTGCTGGTTTAGTCTTGGGAACATAATATTTAGCTTTGTTTAATAAATACATTAACTCTCGATCCAGTTTGCCAGTCTTCTGTATAATATCTTTGACCAATAAAACTGGATTTTCTGACGGTTTGGTAGCATTTTGCTTCTTCTCTGTCGTATAAAGCCATTCCTGTTTCAGGAAAGGAAAATAGGACAACGAATTAATGTGGACTACAATATGATTAGACAATGATCACAATATAATTTTTTTGGCTGAATATGTTAAACTTTAACCAGGCAACTCTGTAAGTTAATAAAGACTTCAGTATTTTTAAGATTTGAAGGAGGGTACATGTTAATACAAAACATATTCCGAACCGCATACATACATACATACACGGTATGCGGAAGGCAGTTTGCGACTAGAATAGGCTACTACTTACAATTGTTTCATTTAGGACTTTCCACACATCTTCTAAATCTTTGTTAGTGAAAATCTCATCCTTTTCTTTCATCCCAGCAATTTGTTTTAAAAATGTCCCAGTTAAATTCAGACTTCGACGTAGATTCTCCAGAGCTTGAGGACGATTCTTTAATTCTGATATTCTTAAATAAAAGTCTTTAGAAACCTCCTTTAATTTCTTCAATTTCGCTTTGTAAACCTATAAAACGTGTTAATTCATTATTGCGGCTTAAGCAACCTTTACACCGTACTGGATAGTTTTCCGTAGAAAAAACTCCTATCCGTACCTTTTAGGAACGCTATTTTCAGAAGAATTATTGCAACGAAGAAATGTTATTTCGCTCCGCTTCTGAAAATTGTACATTCCGTATTAGATAGTTTCTTTTTCGCGGTGTTACGGAAAGCTATCCGGTTATTCCGGTATAGTGTATTAAACGTAGCCTTAGTTCCATGGCCGATCGTGAGATCAACATATGCGTTAACGGCAGAATCTTGTTGCACTTCAAAAGCCGGTCAATAAGAGAAGGTCAACTATCTGAGTAACCACAAGATGAACTATTCAGGCGAACTAGTTGAAACAGCGAGATCTATACTGGCAAGGTTCCTGGCAACAAATCATGCTTGACATTTACTTCATACATGCTTACGTATACCAACACACAAATCAAGTGAAATATGCATGAAACCATTCCAAGAATGCAGGAATTTGCCATTCCAGAGACCCAGGAATTTGCTATTCCAGAGATTTCAAAATTATTTAAGTACTAAACTATTCAATTACTGCATGAATACGCATCAACGGGCACATGACCTCAAGAATCATTAACGATGAAAAATCACTTAATCACTAGGGCCAAAACTTATAATTTCCCGGGGGCCCAAATTTCTCTGTGCAGCCGTGGCGTCTGTGAAGACAAAATATGAAGATATTTATTGTTGACAGATAATTCATTTGCGTACCGCGTTTATACACAGACGAAACATTACCGTTTCTTAACCTACGTTCGCCAAACGATGTCACGAGATTGACCCAGGCTAGTCCATACGAAATATCGGTCTGGTAAAAATCTGGTCATTATTCAGTAAGTGTATTATAATGGAATACTCACATCTTCAGTAGTATCCAATCCCTCATCATCTAACCAATCAGATACTTCAGATAAAACTGTCTCAAGTTTCTCTCGTTCTTCTTCAGTCATTAATGTTTCACCTTCTTCATCTGATAATTTATCTCGTGTTTCAAACAAGAAACTTTCCACTGAATTCTTTGCTCGAGCATTTGCTATTTTAGCATCATCACGAGCTTTCATATTTCTGAGTCTAAATACAAATAGAATGATAAATCTCATGCATCCCTCTCTATCAAGAGGAGAAGATTTCCTAGCAAACGCTGTAAATGAAACTACAATCGTAGTAATAATTCTTTAGACCCACGTATACGTGGTAATTTTTTATTCCCTAATTTTGGATTTTTCAATAATCAACATCTTTCATGTTCAAATTGTTAAATATATTATTCTAGGTAGTTCTTTAATTCGTTTCCCAAACATGTTTTTAACCTATTAAGCTGCAATGCGCCCAAATACGCGCTACTTAATAAGGTTTCTCTGTCTAACGCCAGACGTTTTTACTCGTGAAGGGAAGAGTTTTGTGCGTTAATGGGTTAACAATGCTGTGCGTCTGTATTCATAACATATATGTCTTAACAATGTTGTTAATGGGTTAACAATGCAGTGCGCCTCTAATCCTCTATTCATAACATATATGTCTTACCTATTTACAGCCACTGTAAATCTATCAGAAGACATTTCTTGTAGATCAACAATTTCAGATTGAACTTCAAGAGTTTCACGGATAGTGACTGGTTTTGGAGGAGCTTGTTTCTCAGTCTTCTCGTCAGTCTTGTTCTTTTCACTTTCGTTTTTAACTTTCTCATCTTTAGCTTCTTTTTTCTCGTCTGATTTTCCTTCTTCTTTTTTATCTTCTTTCTTCTGTTCTTCTGTTTTCTCATCTTTCTTTTCCTCGTTCTTGTTCTCCTCGCTCTTGTTCTCTTCGCTCTTATTTCCTTCGTTCTTTTTTTCCTCATCTTGACTTTCTTTACTCGCCTTTTCACCTTCTTTTTCTTCTGGTTTCTTGAAAAGATGCGGTAATTTAAACGTCAGAGGCTGATAATATATGAATAACCAGAGGACTTACATTACCCTCACAATGCTTTAATTACGTGTAAATTTACTTGCATCAAAATACGATATGAAAAATGTCCCACTCCTGGTTTATTTTATTGCAGTAAAATTAGTTAAGTAATTGCACGCTTAAGAATCAATTATACTCATTATTATCACGCAAATAACAAAATGGAAATCATGCACATATTGTTATATATTGTACCTGTTCCTCACCACCTTTCGTGCTTCCACTATCCTCTTTTTTATCTTCCTTGGACTCTGCTTCGGATTTTTTATCTTCCTTCTTCTCACTGTCCTTCGTTTCTTCAGACTGGAAACGATGAATAGTATTAGAAATATTCGGTATTTACTGTAGTTGTTGTCTACAATATAACGTTAAATAACAATAATTTACCTTTGTCTCTTGGTCTTTCGATTCTTCTTTCGAACCATCTGTATCGGATGAACCAGTAAAGAAACTTGATATTTTACTTCCGAGTTCTAGAAAGAAACCCACACT